ATTTCGCTCCACCACATGTACCACATGAGGTGCGAATGACAATAAAGAAACTCTGACTCTGACTCTGACATACAATATGTATGCCTTTTTTATGATTGTCTATTGTTGTCGTTGTTATTCACTGTTGTCATCATTCTTGGTTAAAATCAGGTCTCTTGTAAATGAATCCTGAAGGCTCAATGGGATTAACATGTCTAAATAAAGGTTGAATGAATAAATGAATATATATAAATATATATATGTATATATATATATATATATATATATATATAGTATATATATATAGTATATATACTGTATATATATTTTTTTAAACAAATTAAAATAAGATGGCAAAATAGTTGCAAAAACGGCTAGATTATAAGGCAAATGTAGACAACAAAAAACAGGAACATGTCTGCATTGGTTCTTGCCAGAAACTTAGCAGATGTTTGAAGCCACTTAGAGAGGTCAAGATTGAGAGCTTCAGATCTTTTTGTAAAATATTCCAGGAAACAGGAGCGGAGTAGGAGAAGGCCCTTTTGCCAAGTTCAGTCCACACTGAGGGAACACTGCAGGTAATAATGTCTTGAGAGTGCACGCTGTAGCTGCACTCACACAGTGACATGTAGGAGGAGATGTATGAAGGCGACAGACCAAGAAGTGATTTAAAGATGAAAATGTACCAGTGAGAGAGTCTGTGTGAAGTTAATGATGACCAGTGAATACAGGGTGCAGTAGTGGTATGGTAGTTACAGCCAGTTATGAATCTTAGTGCACCATGATAGACAGCATCCAACATCTGCAGGGTTCTTGTAGGAGCGTTCATGTAAATGTCACCGTAATCAATTGAGGGAAGGAAAGTCACAGTTACAAGGTGTTTCCTAGCTTTCAGAGTTAAACAGGATCTGTTTCTGAAAAAGAAACCCAGTTTAACTTTCAGTTTCTTTACTAGGTTTCCCACATGAAGCTTAAAAGAGAGATGTGAGTCGACCAAAATACCCAAATATTTGTAGGAATCAACAAACTCAATGGGGACACCATTTGAGAATACAATTAGAGGACTTCTGGGGCCGACTTCTTGTTTGAAAAATACATCCCTTTGGTTTTGTCCGCGTTTAGGACATGTTTGAGTTGGAACAAATCTGACTGGATGATGTTGAAAGCGGATTGCAAAAGCTGGAAAGCCTTAGCAACTGTTTTAGCTCGACAATAAACAACTGTGTCATCATCATAGAAATGTATGGATGCGTCAAGGATGCTCTGATCTACATTACCTATGTAGATTGTAAAGAGGGTGGGTCCTAAGACTGAGCCTTGTGGTACACCATTGTCTGTTAAATAACTGGAGGAAGTACCATTATGTTGAACACACACACACACACAC